TGGGAAAGCCACACTCACTCTCAGAAAAGCGCTAGAGATTGCTTCATGACCCTATGACTGTTTCAAGGACACTGTATGCCATACCTGCCAGACAAATGGGCACATTGCAAAAGATCCAAGATGAACACACATCACTTGCAGAGTGAGGAGACTGAGAAGTCGTGTTCCTTTAACATGCCTAATCTCATTGACCCGAGCAAGCCCTGGGTTGAGCCCATCTATGCATCACAGGTAAATGGAAAAGAGCTGAGGAGATGTGCCTCAGCTTCAGGGATAGGTGAAGACACTTACCACAAGTTGTGGTGCTCTGGCTATGCAAGACTGAGAATGGACATGGGTGAGTACACTCCAATTCTTGGGCCTACAGAGGTGGACATAGTGTATCAAGGCCAGGAAGCTCCAGAGTGGCTGCTGATAGTCAAGGGGGAGAGGCGTAGTTTGCTGGGGCATGACCTCCTACAGTCAATTCTGTCACGGTTAGAGGTAAGGCTGGAACCAATTGCAGCCAACACAAGGGAGTAAATGGAAAAAGTTTAACAAAAGAACTTACAAAACTGGTGAAAACTCAAAAATCCGAAATGTAGGCAAACAGGAAGCCAAAGCACGAACTAACCCAGGGGAACTTGGACAGACGATCTGACACAGACAAAGGGAAGCACAGAGACTAAACAGTCACAAGGGAGGCAAGGGTGATTGAACACTTGTGAAACACATTACAACAACAAGGAGGGAAAGCAGAGTCTGAGAAAAATTAGGTGTCAATGAGCCTATTGTGGTCTCCTACTGGGCAACCCCGTTTGTGCCAATGTTGAAAGAAGATAGCGAGAAAAAAAGTTGGACATGAGTTATGCATACCAGGAGCTGCTGACTCAAAATAATATGTGACCATCAATAACTACCAGGGGTTGCTTAAGTACAACCCCCTTGTGTTCTTCAAGGCACCATTGACATTTTTCTTCATAACATCACCCACGTTGCGATCTATGTAGACAACATTTTGGTCAGAGGTAGAACAGAAGAGGAGCATTTGCAAAAATCTTGACCAAGTGTTGAAAAGAAGAAAGTCAGGCTGCATCTGAAGCGCACTAAGTGCACTAAGTTTGCCAAGCTCACGTACCTGGGCCACTAGATTACAGCTTAAAGTCTTTCTCTGGTGGGGGGATAAAGGAGGTTCCAAGTCCAAAGTACTTGGGCTTAGTGAACGACTACAGGAAGTTCTTCTCTGACCTCTCCACTGCACCCGCCACGCTCTATCAGCTACTGCACAAAGATAGCTCATGGAAGTGGCAGAGTTTCAGCAGGTAAAAGAACTGTTACAATGAAGGAAGACAAGGAAATCATCATATCAAGTGATGCATCACCCTATGGCGTGGTGGCAGTCCTTCCATCATATAGAGGATGGTTTTGAAAAGTTTATCGGGTATGTGTCAAGTTCACTCACAACAGCAGAAAAGGGGTAGTCACATTTAGAGAAGGAAGGACTAGCTCTAGTTTTTGTGATAAAACGCTTCCACCAGTAACAAATGGTCGCCCTTTTATTATCATAACAAACCATAAGCCCCTATTGGGTCTGTTTAGTGGTTTCAGTGACAGTGTAGCACTGGGCATTAACCTTGTCAGCATACCAGTGTTGCATAGTGTACAAGGCAGGTAGTGAAAATAAAAATGTCAATGTCTTCAGCTGTCTTCCTCTCCCTGAGAGACTAAACCAAACTTGCCTATGCCCAGAAACTGCATTTCTGTTAGACAGACTGTCCAACTCCCCAGTGATGGCAACACAAATCAAAATATGAAATGAGCGAGACTCATCATTGATTAAGAGATAGGTGATGCAGGCCTGGCCAGCAGCTGTTGAGCAGGAGGAGCTAAAGCTCAGAATCAGAATCAGAATCTGGTTTATTGCCAAGTAGGTTTTACAACACGGACAAGGAATTTGCCTTAGTGTTTTGGTGCATATCAATAACAACTCAAAGATGACATGACTTAAAGAGTTTGTGCCCAGGGTGGGAGGGGTCGGCTACAATCTTTCCTGCTTGCCTCAAGGTCCTGGAGGTATACAGGTCCTGGAGGGATGGCAGATTGCAGCCTATCACCTTCTCAGCAGAGTGAATGATACACTGCAGTCTGCTCTTGTCCTTGGCAGTGGCAGCAGCGTACCAGGTGGTGATGGAAGAGGTGAGGATGGACTGGATGATGGCAGTGTAGAAGTTCACCATCAATGTCCTCTGCAAGTAGATTCTTCAACTGCCGTAGGAAGTATATTCTCTGCTGGGCTTTCTTGGTGAGGAAGCTGATGTTCAGCTCCCACTTGAGGTCCTGTGTGACAATGGTGCCCAGGAAACAGAAGTACTCCGCGGTGTCCATGGGGGAGTCACACATGGTGATGGGGGTGGGTGGGGCTGGGTTCTTTCTGAAATCCACTATCATCTCCACTGTCTTAAGAGCATTCAGCTCCAGGTTGTTCTGCGTGCACCAGGTCCAGGGTCCACCAGGATTTTGCTGGTCCTTTTATGGATCACAATGTAAGTACTGGTAGACTCCCATTCTAAGTGGCTGGAAGCATATATCGTGTGAGCACCACTGCCTCAGTCTCCACGGAAACACTCAGAAGTATCTTTGCCATACATGGATTGCCAAATACTGTTGTGACTGACAAAGGGCCCACTTTCACTCATGATGTGTCCCAGGAGTTCATGGAGAAAAATGGGATCCAACATGTCCGCACTGCACCCTATCACCTTGCCTCTAACAGCTTATCAGCTCATACCTTTGAAACTTAAGAAGATGGTCTGCGAAAGATGCCAGGACACTCAATGGAAACTAAGCTTTTCCATTTCTTGTTCCAATACTGGATCACTCCTCACACAATGACAGGATGTTATTGGGAACAAGGGTTTAATCTCATCTGGATCTCCTCCATCCGGACGTTGGAAATTATCATGCGGAACCACTGTAATTATAATTAATCTCAGATTAAGCACAACGACACTAAATAATAAAATGGTTTCTCTTGCTGATCAGTTGAGTGTCTTATCAAGCACAAAGTAACTTTCAGGGAAGACCTAACCTGAATTTAGAACAAGCAACCAAAGATTTATCATTACAAACTAACAAAGATTGACACAACAACACTGTGGTCTCCTGTGGCTTAGAGAGGGGTCTGTCTGCAGAAGGCAAGAAAGGGGGCGTAACTGCAAGTTGTCCAACAAGATGCTGTCAGCAAGATGGCCAGATCGTGTGAAAACAATGGTAGCTGGACAAGAATGATTGTTTTAAGCCTGTTTCTCTACGATTTCATTAATAATTGCCTCTATTGCACATACAATGAAATAAAAACAGCATTATAAAAGTAAGCTTTCATGAACAATTGCCACCACTCCACATAAATATGATAAGATGTAGGGTTGTGGCAATGGACGAAGATCTTGTTTATCGATGATCACTCTGATGATCATTGATAGCTCATGCCTTTGCCCATTTAAAAACTATATTTGTTTTTTTTCCAATTAATGTATTAACTTATAATTATCATTATTTGTAGTATTAAATTAATGTTACATTTCATCTGCCCTGCCATACTTTCACATATATAACTGCATATAACCGATGATTGCAACACTGACACACGTGCACAAACACAAACAATTCGACCAGCTGATTGTTTCATGGAGCTGAAAGCCATTAACAGCTGTTTCTACATGCTTTGATTAATTGGTGCTTTATTTGTGATGACAATTTTGTTTTAACGTAGCCACAAAATGTGTAAAATAACTCTGGGTATCTGAGGAAGTGAGACAGATTGGTGAGCACATAGGGCACGCACATAGGGTTACACAGGTAAATGTGTGTTTTTAAAATTTATTCAGCGGTCCAACACCACAGCTCGCAGCTAGTTAGCATGGCTGCCGTGCTTAAACCCCTTTCATATTGAAGTGGGAGGCACAGCAGTATGACGTAACATGAAGTGGGCCATACTGCAAGTGGACATAATTGTAAGTGGACGTAACTGTATTAACAAGTATTGCAACCTGCAGAGGGATCCTTTTGGTAGCTCTGGAGGTAGAGCGAGTCATCCACTAATCAGAAGGTGGTTCAATCCCGGCTCTTCCAGTCTGCATGTTGAAGTGTCCTTGGGCAAAATAGTGAACCATACCAGTTTATGAGTGTGTGTATGTATGGTACAAGTGCTGTATTAGTAGTAGAAAGCTTTGTATGAATGTGTGTGTGAATGGGTGAACGTGGCTTGTAGTGTAAAGTGCTTTGAGTGGTCGATAAGATGAGAAAAGCCCTATGTAAGTACAGTCCATTTACCATTTAACAAAAGCTAACTACACATACAATGACACTACAGTGAAGGGATGGATGAATGTAATACTAGTGTTTGACAGGGAAAATATGCAACAGGTGAATAAACCAAAATAATGTCACCTCCAGCTGGTAAAAGCGGTGGTAAATTTAGAATCATGTTTGGATAGAGGGGAAGTGTCTGAGAGTGAGGCTGAGTGAATGTGTGCACTCACGTATCTCAGTGTGCCTTGGTTCTCTCTGTCCAACAGTGAGGTTAGATTCCCTTTACTTTTTAATCCCATTTTAATAATCTTCTGTATGTATTTCTATGTACATTGAAAAAGAGTTGTTGAGGTTAACCAGTCGTCAAAGCAGGGCAGAAGCCCCCTGCTGCTAGAGGGGCCTGTGGAATTTCCAATTTGGCTCTCCATGACCCTTAGTAGTTGGTTGTTATGTGGTCTTATCTCTGCTTCCTCCAAAAAGGTCTTTGATTGAAATTAAATGTAATCCATATTCTGTCAGACTGATTTTCCTTCTTTATGTTTGGTAGAGTGTGCAGTTTGGAAATCTGAGGAGTAGCACATAAGATGCTACTTAAACTTTGACTGATCATCAAAGTCAATTAATCTGATTAATCTTCCTCTTATAAGACAAAGGCCCTGACTCAGTCATGTTGGTTGCTCATGCTGACCTCATCTCTTTTGGTCCTTCAGGCTCTCCGTACAGAGATAGGATCACTATTGCCATCCTGCAGCTTCAGGAGGAAGGGAAGCTGCACATGATGAAGGAGAGGTGGTGGAGAGGAAACGGCTGTCCGGAGGAAGAGAGTAAGGAGGCCAGCGCCCTCGGTGTGCAGAACATCGGAGGGATCTTTATTGTCCTAGCCGCTGGACTTGTCCTCTCTGTTTTTGTGGCTGTGGGAGAGTTCCTCTACAAGTCCAAACAGAACGCACAACTTGAAAAGGTAAAAAACACCTCTGACAATCATCTCTGATTTGTTATTTAAAACAATGATAGCAGAATTTCTTACCATAACCACACGTGCCATGAAAGGCAGTCTCATGGCAAATACAAATAAATCTATAAATGTTAACAAAATGAAACAAAATATATGCCAAATATTTTTTATTTTTTATCATTTCCTCTATATAATTTAAAGACATCATCTGTTTGCCAATTTGTGGAAAGTCACACTATAATGACAGTGCAATATCATATGCAGTAAGGTAAGGGTTGGTTTTTCTGCATTTATTCACATAGGCCCAATGGCGACAACGAGATAAGAAACGTGAGGAATTCTGCTGTCACCATGGATCCAAGCTAGACTTTAACCATCATCTGAAATGACCTCAAGTGAAACTCCAGAAACTGTTTTCTATTGTAATCTAACATGATCTAAAACTACTGAATTGTGTTTTTCTTTCCGACACTCCCGAGGGAATGGGAACAACGTTTGGAGTGCTGGTAGTAATACACAGTTGGATCATAGACGTGTATCGCGAATGTTTGCTCTGCCGCATGACCCACCTCTTCAGCAGCCACATCCACTAACACACACCTCCCCACCTCCACTGTCCATTTCCACTCTGCAGACTGCCTTGCTGCCTATACTGTAACTATCCTCACTTTTTATGTGTGTGGCATTTAGCTCACATATATCTTAGACCAGTGCAGTAACACGACACAGGATGGTGTTGTTTGACTGGAGCTTCCCAGCAAACATTATTACACTGAATACTTGCTGATATAATGACCTGCACCATCGGAGAAATACTTAGGACTACTGTAAATGCATAAAACATGAATATCTCCATAATGATATGTACCTGGGTTTCTGTGTTCGGTATCTACTCTTTAAAGCCCAATCCCATTGGAGCTGTTTACAAAGTCATTGTAGGACACCAAATTTAAGTTCATTAAAAAGAAGCTGTGGCTGAAGCTTATCTTATCTTCATGCAGACTTATTCAGCTGTCAAACATATCTAAACTGCTTTAGGTTAGATGAATCTGTAACTGTATATATATGGATTATAATATGTAAGTATAGTGAAATAAATATTTCTTTATACACCATAGTTATATAGCATAGCTTGTATTATATATGTTACATTATCTGTATCTGAGTCACAAGTTTTATAAATGAAGATATGATATATTTACTTGGATAATTTTAATAACTTAATGAGTTTGCATAAACAGTAAAAATGTCAGTATTTTATATGCGGCACTCTGTTGTAAAATAGATTGATTATATTAGATTATAGATCATATTATTAGTTTAGATTATTATAGCATCAATTGCAGCAGCATGTGTTGACCTACATACCTATCTCTCTTGAGTTGCCACTTGATTAAAATCTAATATGTATAAAATGACTGAATAAACTCCCCAGTTAGATTGCAGCTATAAATAAGCAAGAAAAAATACATCACTCATAACATATATAGTTTTCATAACTAGTTATTGTAAGAACTAAGTGATCAGGGAGGAGCACCAATGCAGTGGACTGAACAGAACAGCATCATGCTGAAAGCTACATATATCATGGTGATTGGTGAAGAAAGAAAAGAGAACAGACAGAACTGTATGTTATTGTCAGAAGAAAATGCACATTTTATGTTTTTCTAAAATATCCTTAAGTGAAAAAAATGCTTTTAGGAACGAAAATACACTTTGCTACACTGAAATTCTTCATTTAATTTCACTAATTATGAAGATATTGCATACTGAGATAATAATTGTTTTCACATATGTATAGATAAGTCTAATATACCCAAGTTGTATATAGTATATTATGTAGTATGTTGTGAACTAGTGTAAATACTGCCCCAAAATGAAATAATGATCATAGTCATGCATATTGCTTTTGTGAAATTTGGATTTATTCATAATTTTATAATTTAAAGTTTTTTGAGTAAATTCTTGTAAGGCCACATTGTCAGAATTGTCTCTATAATATAATGATATTTAGTTGAAAATATGTCCTAAAATCTTTGAGGGCAGTTTTCAAATGTAAAACATAAATCCTAACCTAGTCCTCTGCCTCTGCTGTTAGGCTTTCCTTGGTTTGATTGTATTGATTGTACAGTGTTTTAGCTTGGCCCAGTGACCCTGTATTGACATGTCAGACACCCCTGTTGTGTCATTCTGTTAAAGGATTACACTCAGAACACTCAAACGTGTTTACACACACAGATATGACTGCACAAATATATGATATAGATACAGATATAGATACAGATATAACATAAAAAGACATACACACCACCAAAAACCGAAGAGATTAGTTGAAAGCGCAGCGCTGAAATAATAATTGTAACGGCCATGCCAACCAGGTAACTTTATCACAGTTATCTTTACCTGCAGTTGCAGTCATACTGCCTAATAGACAACATTCTACAACAACCACAGACGTAGAATAGCATGAGCAAGTAAACGTCCTGGGCGAAAAATGAATTTAATGCAGCAACTAAACAATAATGAGTGACTGAGCAGATTCAGTATCAACTCATGGGAAATGCTTCTGTCTTATCACATAAGAGAAAAAGATGTGTTGTGATTCATGATTCTAATCATATTCCACAATTTAGATTATGTACAACACAGATCTGAAACTTTATTAAAACACACCTTTAAGTTTGCTATAAAAAAAAAAAGATTGTTTAAGGTTAGGGAACTAAAACAGTATGTTTTGGTTTGTGTTTATAGTTTATTATCATCAACAAATCCCTTGAAATCTAACCCTAACCCTATTTTTGGGGGAAACGCTTTAAAACAAATGTTAAGTAAATAAAAGTAAGGGTGTAAAACTACAATAGAAACCTCCTTACATTGAAACTGGGATAGTTTTCCTGGAGTCAGTATCAACAACAGGTGTACACCTGATGTCGCCAATGTGTGCTCATATACAAAAAAAACATGTTACATAAATGAAACTTAATCAACTGAACAAATAAATTTGAATTAATTTAGACACAACACAACAAATTCCTAATGAAATGAAATGAAAACCAAAATGTTTTTAAAAACCTGTCCACAGACAACCACAATATCAGTTTAAAGTACTGTACACTGTGATGTTGGTATTAAGGTTTAGTCAGTGCTCCATTGCGCAGGTACACCTTTGGCAATAAGACTACCAATCCCCGGGCATACATGATGGAACCCTGCCAGCATTGCTGTTTGGGGTACATTACATGCATGCAGGAGGCTGCATGATGCCTCCAGGGCAATAAGGCTGCCAGGGGTAAATTAGTTGGTGCTATGGCTTATTATCTGAGGATGTACTCCTGGCATTAAGGCTGCATTATAGGTTGCCCAAGGGGTATATCATTTACTCTTTACAGTCTCATTGTCTTTGGTACATAATGTGTGTACAGAACCCTAATGTACCATTGGTAATAAAGTAATAAAGTGGTGCTTTGGCTTATTGTCAATGTCAATATACCCCTTGTGCACAGGAGGAACATTATGTACCAGTAGTCGCCTTACTGGGGTACATTACATGTGTGTAGGATCTTGCACCAGGGCAAGAAGGATACCTAGCATACATTAGATGGTGCTTCAGGTGCACACAACATAAATGACACCCTTATTGCCTGGGGACTCATTATGTTATATGCACAAGGTAGACTGCTGACATCAGCTTTCATAGGTTTACTTCTACTGGTATTTCTTCAGGTTGGTGCAGGTAATCATGTTAGCATCAGTGTTCCAAATTAAAATGTTTGCTGGGATGATGTATTGATATTCTCGTAAAATTCTCATATTTTACCTTTAGGTATAAATGAGTCATCCAACAAGTAATCAACTTTTTCAGGTCAGTTCTTTTTTTCAGAAAGTTACTTTGAATACAGATAATACATAATACACATAATACAACCTGTTTCGATGAGCCCGATAGAAGGTTTGTATATCTAACATTGTAATGTGTGAGTAAAGCAGGTTCTAATGGAGCATATATAATGAGATAAGACATACACAGTGTGAGGTCCAGTGTGAGGCACTGCTCCACCACTACAGTCAGAGCTGAAGATGAACAGACACATAATAGGCAAAGACCAGATAGTCTGACAATGTTTAGTTTTTTTGTTTTGTTTAGTTTTTTTTTTGTTTTTCTTTACAGCATATCACTTTAAAAGTTGTATTGACAATGAAATGCTTGCACTCTTGTTTCATGCACAGATGACACCACCGTCATGTGTTCTGCACTCTGCTATGTGGACATGCCTTCGATTGGAGCATATGAGTGACCAATAACTGACACACTGTCACTTGTTTGCTTGGAATTGGACAAAGTAATTTACTTTGCACTTAGACAAAATGGGATCACTCAATATTACAATATAATGTGGAGTGGAAAGCTGTTTTGAAGCTGCCTATAGCTAGTATGTGCTGATATTCACTAACTGTTCAGTTGACTGAAAATCCTTATGAAAAGTATTTAGGGCATTATTGAGGACCAAAGCTCTTCACTGAAACCCAGCTTAATTAAATTCTTGGAAGTAGGTTATCAGCTGTTTGAAGGAAGTTTAATTTCTGAGTGAGTGAGTCTCCAGACTCTGATAGTGGTCTTTATAGTCCACAACAACTTTCCCTTTGAGGTAGTCCATAACTAAACCTGCAGTTTTCTGCTTTCAGTGCCCAAATGTTCAATGATGCACTGCAGCTTCTGTGTCAAGACTAGCCCAGATTGATGACACGTTTACTTGGCTGTCAGTTGGCAAATACAATAGGACTGCTATAGTTTGTTATATCCAATGACCGTCACACACTTATCAACACTGTTTCTAGTCCCACAATGTAGCCAGTAGTAGTACAACATCTGGTCCTGATGTAGTGTGGGCTTTACACAAAGGAATGATCTTCAAAAGCTTGTTTTCAATTTGATCAATATCATGGTTACAGTAAATATACCATGGTTAAGGTAGAGTTATGGTTAGGCAACAAAAACACATTAATAC